GTTTCACCACCTCCTCGAGCTTGGCGAACTCAGCCTCTGTTTCTTCCAAATTAATGTACTTCTTGCATCTTTTAAGCACCTCATCATAAGTTTGAGCAGAAGTCTTTGCTAACGACGTTCGACATGGTCCTGGTCGCAGACCCCTAATCAATCCTCCCATTTTCACCTCATCGACCGCCGTGGGCACCTCTAGGCACATCTGATTGTATCGAGCAACATATTTCCACAGAGACTCTTTCTAGCCCTGCCGCATCGCCATCAGAGTGAGATACGTCTTCTCCTGCGCGACCGCACTTGAATATTGATTGGTAAGTTGTTCTGCAAAATCCTCAAAGTCTCTGATTAAACCGGGAGCTAATTGGTGGAACCAGTCGAGCGCGCCTCCTCGTAAGGTCGACAGGAAGGCCCTGCAACTGACCGGATCTGAGTACCCGTGCAAGACAAACATATTTTCAAACGCCCTCACATGTCTCGCCGGATCACTCGACCCATCGAAGGTCAGATTTATCTCCCTGAAACATGTGGGCAGCGGTGCTTCCAGGATTTCTCTCGAGAACAGGTGTCCTCGAGCACGTCTGTCCGGCCTTCCCTCCGCTTTCTCTTGTAGTTGTCGGAGCTGCTCAGCCATCCTCTCCATCGCCCTGTCTCTAGGCCCTCCTCCTCCACCATATTTATATGGACGAGCTACCTGTTCTACACGCGCGAGTAGGGCAAGTTTGGCCAGCCATCCTCTGCTCGTCCATACAACTGTGCGCCTCCACTATCCTTGACGTCAGAGGACGCGTCGAACCTGTCAGAGAATGTCAGAGTTTGTTATCGTCCTGAGCCACTCATAGAACGCCACGTATCCTCCCTCCACGTGCTGGAGATTCCCTTGTATATTCTGCTGCTCAACCAAATCTGTAGTGAATGCTGAATTGTCCTTCGAGTATGAGGTGGTCGAGTGTACGACCACGCCCCATTTGACCATCTTTTCTCGACCAATTCCTCGAGTAGCCAGTGCTTGTCTATCACTTCTGAACCTTCTCTTTTTCACCGTCTACCTTTCGTCTCCTATTGTAGGTGTCCGGTCTAGTTCGACCAGACCCTTTGACCTATCCTATTTAGCTATCCCGACGAACCGGTCTATTGTATAATATCTCATATCAGTAGGAAATAGTGCGTCTGGGTACATGTTTATGCTGGCTGGTGTTGACATTTCTTAGCGTAGTGCTAAGCAAACACATATTACCACTTCCACTATGGAAGCTGAGTTTGGTGGCCTGTTTTGAGGCATCACGTTAGGGAATCTGGTTAAGAAACTTTATCACAAGGCTGCAAATTATTTCAAATGTTGAAAGACCTATCAAGATTTTTGTGACAATAAATCAGTCATTATATACTCTAACAACAATAGAAACTCGTCAAAGTCAAAGCATATTGACATTAAGTTCCTAACTATGAAGGAGAGGGTACAAAGTGGTTAGATTTTCATCGAACACTTATGGACAAAATTATGTTAGCAGATCCCCTAACTGAAGGTGTAACACCTATGCTATTTCACGAGCATACTACTCATCTGAGAGTGTTACATATTCAGGAAGCTTCACTCTAGTGCGAGCATTTGTTACATTTTTTTGTCATTATTTTCGATGATATTAAACACTACAAGAAATGTCAATTTTAACTAGACATTTACCTAGATCTTTGTAGGTAAAGTGCTTGCTGGTAAATTTTTATCTAGCTATTTTATAGGTAAACGAATTTAGCTAGAAATTTTTGGATTTAACTAGAAATTTTGTCTAGTTAAAATTGACATTTCTTGTTGTGAAAGTACTTATTCTGATTAGAAATAAAGTTTTGGTTCATGACACTTTTTGCATTTTGTTTTAGTACTTCACGATCTCATTAAACTCGGACTAATTGAGAATTGACATGTGATGATCACATTCATGTGATGATCACATTCATGTAATTCTCATGCCACATGTTTTTTGATCTATGTCAGATAGTCATAGTGACATATGTTATTATTGATAGTTTAGCTATGCTTATATGGCGAAAACTGCTTTAGTCTTATGTTGTTGTGATTAATGGACCAGATTGTTCAAGTTCTGTAATAATGACCATATTTTGAACTCATAAGATACAATGTATTATCAGGACACATATTTAATCTAGTGGAGATTGTTGGATCTATTTTGGGATTTAATGTGTAATTGATATATCGGGTCATTATATTGCATAAATTATTATACATTGGCTAATGAACTGAATTTAGCCTGCGGAATAATTAAATGTGGACACCCGAGAATATTATTATTTGATGACGTAACAAAACAATAATATTAAATCTAAAGACCTAATTAGCAAATAATTTGGGTCAAAATAATTAATGGGTGGAGTCCACATAAGCCTTGAAAATACAAAAAGGGCCTTTGAGATTATTTAGTAAGGTGTAAGAAAAGAAACCGTCCCACATAACTCTTCGATCAGTTTTCATCTTCCTTACGTCAGAAAGAAGAGTATTCGGTTCACGGTCTTTTGGAAAATCTCCAAATCCCAGATTCAATCTTGAGTTATGAAGCAACCAATCAACATAAATTCATAAGGTATACTTCCGCTATTCATTTTTTATTCTCGATCATTCGATTTGAACACTCATGGGATTAAGCGATTTCTTTCGCATAAGATTAAATCTAATTCTATCAAATTATGTACAATTGATTTGCATCTTTAGATCTAATATGTGCATCTAACAATAAATTGCATCTTCATTTCTAGTATGCAAATATTAACTTCAACTCTCGCTTTTTCTCGGTCGTTCGCTTTGGACGTTAGCTTGGGTTGTATGGACGCTGTGTGATCTTGTCTGTTGGGAAGGGCTTTTTTTGGTTGTTTTGTTGTTTGCTGTTTTTGTTTTGCTAGTGTGTCTATTTTTTTTGTTTAGTTGGGTTTTTTTT